TACACATCAAGTACTTGACGTCGAATCATATTATGCAGTTGATTCATTTTGAGTGGGGTGCAAAATGTGAGGTATCACTGTACTTCGTACTTTCTTGAGGAGCATTCTTTGAGAATATCACTTCCACTCTCAGAACCAATACTTTCAAAATTTGATTCCCATGGAATCGCATTTTTCCAAATTTGTGATGGGAAAAGCTAACTTGCACATGTTTTTGGATATTATACGCGTGTCGACAAAATTAACACGCGGAAACGATGACTTGCGCGTGGGGTGGGATGACATGCGCGTGTGACAGGATGACTTGGATGTACATCAGGATAACTAACGCGTGTATTACAAACACATAGAAACCAGACAAGCAGAGGCAATTACCAGACGAAGCACCAACCTTCACGTGTACTCTAGTAGGCAAGTCTGAATGCGTAGAGTCCCAGATTTTGTGTATGGTCTGGTGGAAGGGTGCCCATGGTACGACCGCAGTGCCGCGCCTGTGCCCCTGGTGGAACCTGTCGAAACGGGTGGTCAGCAGACTCCCGCAAGTTGAATTGCGTGTATCTCGCCTAGAACAGACCGAGGAATCCCAGACTTTGGTGTGTGGTCTGGTGGAAGGGTCCCCATGGTACGACCGCAGTGCCGCGCCTGTGCCCCTGGTGGAACCTGTCGAAACAGGTGGTCAGCAGACTCCCGAATTCAGAACTCTATTTTGATGGATAGCTGCGCTTATACTACGAGGGACATTTTTGATGTGACATCAACGCCGTTGTGATAGGCAATGTGAATTGCCTTTGCAACTTGCTCGGCGTTCATAAGCACTTGTTCGATTTCGCCGTTGACGTTGAACCGCACAAGCCACGCACTTCTCGAGGCAACAAAGATGTCGACCTCTCCAACAAGTGACTTCTTCAGCAATTCGCCGTTGGACAGTTCTTTTGTTGTTCGGAACCATTTGCAACACCTGTACCCGACTATGGAGAGATTGTGATTTGTTGTTGCTTGATCTACAAGCGATGTGAGTGTGAACTGGCGTTCTCGAGTGTCGGCCTTTAGGGCCTTTGACGCTTTGCGTGGCCCAGAAGACTTTCGAATGGGCAATATCCGCAGCCTCATCCGAATGTCGAACCCATCCTCGAGCGACATGCATGCAACAGTGTGCGAACACAACCACCCTGAACGCATGTAAGCGGCGCGTCACTTAGCGAATTGATTCGCACTATTCGTCACCACGAT